GGGACTCGATCCCGGGACTCCAGGATCATGACCTGAGCCGAAGGCAGTCGCTTAACCGACTGAGCCACCCAGGCGCCCAGCAAAATACTATTATTGCACCCATCTTACATCCACTGTAACATGTAATGATAGGAACTCAGCTGCCTGGCTCCAAAGCTTATACACTTAACTGCTGTGCTCTATCTATAGAACATACGAACAAAACAGTTAAGAGATTAAAGATAATTTATTGACAAATTATCAAAAGATAATTTGAACTGATGATGAATGAATAAATTTTGCCTAAAGTAATAGATCAATTTGGGTCCTTTCTGAATCAATCTCTGTGATTTTATCCGTATGATTTCTTTTCTCAGCCTTTAGAGAAAAGGATGCAGAAGTACTTTTTCTATTCACTGTCTCTACCCCAACCTGATAGTACATTTCCTGTCCATTTAAGGGGGGTGGAAACCAATAATCAAACACAATTCCACATAATTGCTGATGGGTCAAGATTCCACTTCCTATCATTTTTTCAAATACACCAAATGCAGTTGAAGTGGTCGGTATCTCCCAATTCCTTTGAAGTATTAACCTCCGAAGACCCTTGTAGGAGCTGTACCTAAGTCAATCATCAGCGCTTTGATTACTTACCTTCTGTAGAGTGCATAACTAGGTTTTAAAAGAAATGTCCTTGTAGAGTTTAAACTTTAACAAGAGAAAGAATATTCACCTTAAACAGCCAAACAACACTTTCATTTGCAAATGAAAAACTCTCAAGGTAAGTGAGGTGAAGAAGTCTGTACCAGCGATAGGCTATGGTGCTCAGCCCTTGAATTAGCTGCTATAGCATAATACAACTCATCCATTCTTACCATCAACAAGACTTCTGACAAATTTTCTGATTGTCTCAATATTATCTATGACTATTCCTCAACGTAAAGGTTCTTCTGGATTGTCAGGATGTACAAAAATCTCTGCAAGGTTTTTCAGACTCCTTTGAGTCACCACCTCAAACCACGTCTTAACAATGCCGAGCCACAAACACAGGTGAGCCTTATTAAATGCCTACCTCATGATCACTTCCCTTTCTTATTCATCCTCCTAGTTAGCATTTCCTTTCCTCAGGGAAATAAGAACTTACTTTACTTCTAGGAGAACTGCAAATTATACTACCTTATCTCCTCTCTGAAGAGGGCTGGCAGTGTCAGAAGAATGAAAACCTTTCTCTTAGATAGAAGTCCATCAGTCCTCTTCAGCAGTGACAAATTCCTATTCTGATAGTAAAAACCTTCCCCATATTTACTTTGTAATAAAACTGTGCTAGGTGCAATGCATAAATTTCTGTAATACATGGGCACTCTAATAGTTGGGGAAAAAACAGTGTTTTTCTATTTGTTTAGAAAATGAATACTGTTAGAACTGAAATGAATCTTAAGAGGTCACTCTCCTCTGTATCCTGTAAAGGAATAACTTACAACTCATTTCTCAATAACCTTACCTCTGAGGAGAGTTCACCTTCATTAACATCAATCTCCTCTGAATTTTCATCAAAATCTTCCATCTCAACACCATCATCCATAAATTCTGCATTAATTGAGATCAACAGAAGACCCAAACATAGCCAAAAGCTTTGCAAATGCATACTGATTACCTGTGAAGTTAAAAGTTATCAGTGAAAATAAAAGTTGTGAAAAATACGTAAGTACACTTACAAAGGAATAATTTTTCTTTAATACCGCCTTTATTGTAGGATGGCTTTTAAAACAAATCATTGACAAAATTATTTAAATTACACTTTGAACAAATAAAAACACAAACTTCAAATCCCACAGGACACAGATTCTAGAGCTACCCACCTGCCTCTAAAAACAAAGAGCCAAGGAGCAGCTGGGTGGCCCAGTCGGTTAAGCACCTAACTCTTGGTTTCCGCTCAGGTCGTGATCTCAGAGTCCTGAGATCCAGTCCTACCTAGGGCTCTGCCCAGCAAGGAGTCCACTTGTCCCTCTCTCTCTCCCTCTGCCCTTCCTCTGCACATGCGTGCACTCACACTCTCTCATAAAT